GCCGCGCTGCTGCTGGGCGGGCGCTCGTCTGGGCGCGCCTCTCCGGGCGCTCCCCTGCGCCTTCCTCCGCGAGCCGGGAGTCTCCGAGCGCAACTTTCTCTCCCCCTCTCTGCTCGCTGTTTGGGGGTCTCAGCGAGTGTTTTTAGTGCGCGGGTCGCAGCTTTCTCATTGTGCGCCAGCGAGGCCGATCCCGGCTGTCCTTTTGCTCCCCGCACTTAGTCTAAGAGAAAGAAAGCAAACAAGACGGAGGAGTGAAGCCCCCGTACATACATGCGCCGGGGGAGATGTCAGGCGCTGCTCCACCTTCCGAACAGTCACAGATCAAACAGTGTCACCGCTGGAGCGCCACTCTGTGCCCCGCGCTTCCCCCGGGGGCTTTGCCGCCAGGATCGCCGCTTCTTCCAACGCGAAATCTAATGCAAACACATTTTGATCATGGATTTTTGGCCGGTCTTGATCTTCCAACAGAAAAATTTTTGAAAAATATACGAAAAGCACCCCCTTTCAAAAAAAAAAAGCCAACAACACCCTGGAGAGTGTGTGCAAAGGGGGCGAAGAGCGACATTCACTGGGTGGGCGAGATAAGCGCGGACAGTGCCCCCCCAAACTCCTGGGAGAGAGGGAGATGCACTCTCGCTCTCTCCTCTTTTCAGTGAAATATAACACACATTCGGATCGCAGAGCTTTCAGACAGTCTCAACTGATAGACAGACACATCGAGCTGCTTTTCCTGCTTGGGTTTTTACTCCTCCTCTCGCCAACGTCACCCTGACAATTACAAATAGGTCTCACACAAACCATACCTGTCAATCTTTTTAATTGCTTTGTTTTCTTTTTTTTTTTCCCAGAGCTAAACAATATGACACAAAAAAGAAATCTTAATACAGCATAACATAAAAGATTACCCATTGGAGGAAGACATTCGGGGGTTGTTATTGTAATCCACTGGCTGATACCGGGTAAACCCATGTGTTCTAAGTTAACTATACATTAGTTCCTGCGGATTTTAAAACCTGATAGTTCCCCCTCCCCCCTACACACACACATACTTTTACTCATACACACGCACGCACGTGGATCCAAACAACCCTTGAATGAAGTGTGTCCTACATTTGGGGGTGAAAACTGTGCCACTTTTGCAATCTCGATTTGGGGGTCATATTTGTTTGGGGAGAACCCCTGTGTGGCTTTTACATTTTGCTAATTCGGGGGTAAGGAGAAAAACAGATTTTTAAATTACAACATACACTTTAGATGGAAATTTAAAGATGGACTTAGTTTGTCACAGAAAAGTGTGGAAATATGTAATTTGGTCCCTCTGTGAAAAGTGAATTGATTATTTGGTCAATACACACAATTAGGCAGAAAATTGACAGGATAGAACTGCAGCTCTTTCTAGCTGGGTTAGAAAATGAGGTCTTCATCCATCAGTGCAGGGTCTCCAATTCTATTAAGTCCCTCCGCATCCCCACCTAGAACTTAAAAATGTTTGTGTGCTCTGGAGATTTGACTTTCTGATCTTCAATATGTGTGTATTCCCCCAGTGGGATACCTGTAACAGCCTTGCCGAGCTACTTAAAACATTCATGGAAAAACACGAAATCTAGGCCAAAATAAATAAGATGGCTTAGTTCGTGCAACTTGCACGGGACAGACCGAGGACAGAAAGCTCGGGCGAGGCATTCCGGCGACAGGAAGCCCCGAGCCTGGGGCGCAGGGTACACAGGGCGCCTCTGCCCCACGGCCGGTTCTCGCGTGCGTGCATAGGCTGCAGGGGCTCCCCGCCGGCCCAGGGCCCCCGGCCGTGCCCCGCCGCCCCGGCCGCGCTCGGGGTTGATTCGTACCACCTTGCAAGGAAGTGAACGCTTCGCACGGGAAGGGGAGGCGCCAGAGTCGGCCGCTGTGCAGCTCAGGGGACGCCCGGGGCTGCTGCCGGCTCCGGGCGGCAGGCGATCGCCCGACGCGCGAGTCCCCTAGCTACCCACCCGCCCCCCCACCCCTTAAGAGAAGTCAAATCCGGCTTTTAGTGCCTGAGCCTGGGGAGGGTGGGGAATATCCGGTGCCTCTCCCGCGCCAGGAGGAAGGGGGAGGGCGGAGAGGATCCTTGGCTAGTCTGCGCCGAGCGGATTCAAACCAAAACAAAAAGATTAAAGGAGCAGCGGCCCGGGAGGCAGCGGTCCCGGGCCCGGACACCGGGGGCGGCGCGCCTGGGTTTCG